ATCCCAGTTTGTCCCAATCCCATCCCAGTTTGTCCCATTGGAGTCGTCGGTGCCGTACGGGCGGAACTGAACCTCTGGGGAAAAAGGTTGGAAAAAATTGGGATGATGATCCCAATCCCATCCCAATCCCATCCCAGTTTGTCCCAATCCCATCCCAGTTTGTCCCAATCCCATCCCAGTCCATCCCAATCCCATCCCAGTCCATCCCATTGCAGTCGTCGGTGCCGTACGGACAGAACTGAACCTCTGGGGCAAAAGGGGGAGAAGAAAAAATGGAAAAAGGTTGGAAAAATTTGGGATGATGATCTCAATGCCATCCCAATCCCATCCCAGTTTGTCCCAATCCCATCCCAGTCCATCCCAGTCCATCCCATTGCAGTCGTCGGTGCCGTACGGTCGGAACTGAACCTCTGGGAAAAGGGGAGAAATGGTTGGAAAAATTTGGGATGATGATCCCAAACCCATCCCAGTCCCATCCCAATCCCATCCCAGTCCATCCCAGTCCATCCCAGTTTGTCCCAGTCCATCCCAGTCCATCCCATTGGAGTTGTCGGTGCCGTACGGGCGGAACTGAACCTCTGGGAAAAGGGAGGAGGAAAAAAAAGTTGGAAAAATTTGGGATGATGATCCCAAACCCATCCCAGTTTGTCCCAATTCCATCCCAGTTCCTCCCAGTCCCATCCCAGTCCATCCCATTGCAGTCGTCGGTGCCGTACGGGCAGAACTGAACCTCTGGGGCAAAAGGGGGGGAAAAAAAAATGGGAGAAGGTTGGAAAAATTTGGGATGATGATCCCAATCCCATCCCAGTCTGTTCCAATCCCATCCCAGTCCCATCCCAGTCCCTCCCAGTCCATCCCAGTCCATCCCATTGCAGTCGTCGGTGCGGTACGGGCGGAACTGAACCTCTGGGAAAAAAGGGGGGGAAATGATTGGAAAAATTTGGGATGATGATCCCAATCCCATCCCAGTTCCTCCCAGTATATCCCAGTCCGTCCCAATCCCATCCCAGTCCATCCCAGTTCATCCCAATTCCATCCTAGTTCCTCCCAGTCCATCCCATTGCAGTCGTTGGTGCCGTACGGGCGGAACTGAACCTCTGGGTGGAGAAAAGGGGGAACAAAAAAAAAGTTGGAAAAATTTGGCATGATGATCCCAAACCCATCCCAGTCCATCCCAGTTTGTCCCAGTCCCATCCCAGTCTATCCCAGTCCATCCCATTGCAGTCGTCGGCGCGGTACGGGCAGAACTGAACCTCTGGGAAATGGGGAGAAATGATTGGAAAAATTTGGGATGATGATCCCAATCCCATCCCAGTTCCTCCCAGTACATCCCAGTCCGTCCCAATCCCATCACAGTCCATCCCAGTCCATCCCAGTACATCCCAGTTTGTTCCAATCCCATCCCAGTCCATCCCAGTCCATCCCATTGCAGTCGTCGGTGCCGTACGGGCGGAACTGAACCTCTGGGAAATGGGGAGAAATGATTGGAAAAATTTGGGATGATGATCCCAATCCCATCCCAGTCCATCCCAGTTCCTCCCAGTCCATCCCAGTTTGTCCCATTGGAGTCGTCGGTGCCGTACGGGCTGAACTGAACCTCTGGGGAAAAAGGGGGAAATGGTTGGAAAAAATTGGGATGATGATCCCAATCCCATCCCAGTCCATCCCAATCCCATCCCAGTCCCATCCCAGTCCATCCCAGTCCCTCCCAGTCCATCCCAGTCCATCCCATTGCAGTCGTCGGTGCCGTACGGGCGGAACTGAACCTCTGGGAAAAGGGAGGAGGAAAAAAAAGTGGGAAAAATTTGGGATGATGATCTCAATCCCATCTCAATCGCATCTCAATCCCATCCCAGTCCATCCCAGTTTGTCCCAATCCCATCCCAGTCCCATCCCAGTTTGTCCCAATCCCATCCCAGTTTGTCCCATTGGA